AGACCTGCATCCCCATTCTCTCGGCGCCTGCGCTGCCTAGGCACTACTCAAGCGTCGACAGCGTGAGGGTGATGACTATGGCGTCTATCAAGATGATGCAGACATGCATAGGATACACATTTCCATGATATCTCAACATGTCTGCCTTCTGTGACGCGATGGAGGTATCCTTCTCATGCTTCCTGCAGTCATTCTCATATGAGCAAGAACGGAAGCAATAGGAAAGCCACCCTCAGCAACTCTAACGGAACTCGAAGACGTCCAAGGCTCTAATATCAAGAGAACTTATGGACCCACGCAGCCAGCACGTACATCAAGCGAAGGCGCGGGATACGCCGTCGACATGATGGTGCCGTATGCTGTTGTGAGTATATATAATGTGAATGTGTTCGAATCATTTCGGTATTACAGCGCTCTTCATGATCATGCCCAATAGCACCAACGGCAGCCATGCCCTCCCTCCTGGCGTCATTAATCCGGAAACACCATTTGCGTATTTGACTCCAACTCTGGCGGAGCAATTCGAGTCCACTAGACACATTAATGTCGCCGCTCTTAGTGTCAGTACTCGCCCTTTTCTCGACGTGTGGAGCCTGACCTAGGTTTTTTGAATTTTGACTCTGCATAGGCCTGGATATGGGACACGATTGTGTCAACGCCACAGGACTATGCGCTCCTGTTCAAGCATAAGATAAATTTACCGACGGCCGTCTATTTCCTCTCAAAGTCAGTTTCATCCTGCCCTTGTACCTCCTTTCTTGACGGGACCCAAGAATATTTTCTCTCGCTTATATAACAACGTCCACGATATTCGTAGGTAAATAAAGCCTCTACTAATCGCATGCCTTGGGGTCACTGACAACCCTGAGTCACCTAGTATCACCCGTCGGGTCGTGCCAAGCCTTGCAAGTAGCTTTGGGCATATGCTACATCTTTGCCGTTTCTTCGTCGTCGCTGCTGTTCATTTTTCGTGTCCGAGCAGTGTTCCACTTCCAACCAATGGTTGTCTACCTGTTCTACTTTCTATGGGTTGCTGTCCTGGGATCCGCCATGATAATTCCGTTTTCGATCGCCGGAACGCATATAGGGCCGACAAGGATGTGTATCAATACAGAGGTCAAGCCCTATACCTCTGCCGCAGTCATCATCAACGGTGTCAACGATACCTTAGTGTTCCTGGCAATCTCATGGCGTTTATTGACTATGAATCTTGTGGATGAGTCATGGTCCGCGCGTGTCAGATCGTTCGTACATGGTAGAGGCTTCTCAAGGCTGACCGGGACCCTGCTCCATGGAGGCCAGCTCTATTATCTGTGAGCACTTATCCGTACTCGCTACCAGAATTCACAGTTAATACTACATTGTAGCGCGACGGTTGGCGTGAATATATTGACCATCGTCATGGTCCTAACACCCTCAGTCCCACCCTTCTATCGTGCTGTCTTCACTATACCGAACATTGCGCTGGAGAACGCGATGGCCTGCCGCGTGTTCCGGCAGCTGAAACTGGGCATCATTGCCGGGGGAGAGTCGACATCATTTACGGCCTCCTCAGCTCAGCGGACTGGCATGGCGATGAATTTTGGCGGGACCCGGCGTGGAAATCGGTCCGAGCTCGATTCAGAAGCTGCTCTGCACTCGCTCCAAGACATGCGGCCTTCGCGCGAAGATGGCATACGAGTCAAGGTTAGACGGGACAGTGACGTCAGGGTAGACGGGGACACCCCCAAATCTTCCTGTCTCAAGTTGCCGGAGTCGCATTTCTGAGAGGAACGCCGAACTGAGACCCATTTTTTTAATTTTGATATAATGTACGTAGGCCATCCAGGACTATCGTCACTGGTATGGCACGGGAACCAACGGCCTGTAGCTGAGCTATTTGATCGGATTGAGGGAATACCATATACAGCCCAGTGCTGGTAATGACAAGCTCGAGTCAGACTTACAAGGACAGAACCCACTGGCGCAAAGATACACACAGCAAAACTCCCTCCCTGCAGAAAACCACTCGCAGCAGAGGTCGTTAAGACATACAATCTAGCAAATGCGTCAACGTATAAGATGACCAGGATCTGATAAATTGCAAATAGACATTGCTTATGGCCACACTTCCAGTGCTGTGACTGCTGTCTCCTCTCGTAGGTCGTGAAAGCAATATTATAGGGCTGCTGCACGAGCCACCGACATGATTGTACCATCTCGTCGTCGACACGAAGTACACTTTTCTGGATTATGAACCAGAGGTCGCAATTCTGTAGCGAAGTACATGGCGGGAGCCTTGGTGCTGGACCTATCGTACCCCAAACGCCGGTACTGTGTAAATTCATGACAGCCTTCGGACCAAGGGTGTGCAACATGCCCGATAAAAACCGACCATCGGAGCCTGGTCACCTATTCCTTCACTTGGTTTTAAAACAACCCTAAGCGGTCTGTAATACAGACCACCAGAGAAACTTGACACAACTTTTCATACCCTCGTACGGACGCACGTATCTGATCATTTAAACCTACAGCCAAGGATCGTCGCCCAATTGTAAAAAGCCACAGAAAACCGGGGTCGAGTCCATTGCGAGATCTCAGGCTCAATGTCAATACCTGGCCGGTTTCAAATGGGAGACATACCCCCCAAGAGGGTGCTGATGCAAGGGAGCCAAACCGCACTGCGAGCATGTTTTGTACCCCATTGCTATTTCCTCGCATTCGAAAGGCCTGGCCGGTGACGTCAGGGCCTTTAGAGTAGGTTCACATGAGCGCCTTTGTTTCGGTGGCTGACTGCGCCTTGCCAATGCCATCTCGGAGAAACACGTCGGCGGTCAGAGCACGCCCGTCGCTTTGTCGGGTCCGAGTTAAGCAAAGAATTCGAAAACATATGGGTCTAGCGAGCAAGACGACCATATCGCGCCTTCATCGCTAACTGAGCTTCGACAACGACCTCGGTTTCAAGAAATAAATGGACCACGCGAATAAGAGAGAGAAGAGATGCAGGAGACCCGAAGCGGAAGCAGCAGCGCCTCGGTAAGTACCAGAGCGGACTTCGAATTTTTGGGCGAGCACCGGCTGAGGCACTTGAGTACTGACTGGCTTGGTCGTCCTTGTCCTCCTCCCATTGCGATGCAGCTCCGCGTACACTAGCTACTGGACATCCTTCCACGACTACGACGACTCCTGCCTTCTCCTCTCTTGTTTCCTGTCTGCTCTGGACGCACTGCGGTAGTTTGCTTGCGCTCTAGCCGTTCTCATGGACCAGAGTACTCCAGCAGATGCTCAGGTATGTCGTGCTGTCGAATTATGAGGACGAAGTCGTGGAATTATACAATATTGCATGTCGATGCTCTGAGCTCAACCGAGCCTATCGTCACGGAGCCCAGAGACGAAATATCCTCTCGTGCAGCTCCTGTACGACGTACACGTCGCAGAACATGTCTTACCACTCTGCTTTCGTGATCGGCCGTCTTTGGGGCGCGTGTAGAGTACTGCACAACAGTGTTGTGCGATCCCCTTCCTGCAGGGGTGGCCCACGACGAGCACTCTGGACGATCTGACCCCCTACCATTATTCTCATATTAAATCCAAAAATAGCCACCCAAGTCTAACGCCTCTATCTCTCCCAGGCCACCGCCGGCGGGCTCAGCAGCCTCCTCTCGCTCTCCATCGCCGCCGAGCACGCTGGCCCTATCCCCGTCCCGCCCCCACCGCCCACCCTGCCGGAACCCGAAGCCAGCGTCGGGAGCTACAATGCGTACGGCCACGGCAGCCTCCACACGAGTATGAAGCACCGCCGCCTGTCCTCGGCGGGTCAGACCCGCCGGCGGCTGAGCGACGCGCGGGACGCGGCCGCCCGACCCTCGTGCGTCGCGTGCATTCCCCTCGTATACGCGCTCGCTCACGGTTAATGAATTTGCAACCCTTGTATCTCGCAGCTCGCAGGCGGCGGCGGCGGCGGCGGCGCTGCAGTCGCTCGCGGCGCTCTCGCTCTCGGCAACCCCGCCCCCGGGGCCGGCGCAGGGGGTATTCAAGCTCGAGAAGGCTGCGAGCACGGGGACGCCGAGTAGTGCTTCGACGCCGATACCGATTCCTGCTAATAAGGAGAGTGAGGGGCAGGAGAAGAGCCCGAGCACCGGGAGTGGGAGCGGTAAGACCGGCAAGAAGCGGGGGACGATATTCCAGTGCGAGAGCTGCTCGAAGGTGGGTGCTTGTTCCCTGCCTTATCCCATAGGGACATGCTTGTTTCACTTTGTTGTCCTATTCAAACCTACCAGTACTAATGTACCATCCGTACAGGTCTACCGTCATCCTTCTTGCCTGATCAAGCACCGTTGGGAGCACTCCCCGCACTGGCGCGAGGCATCCAAATTCGTCCTCAGTAAACACCAACAGGTGCAGCTCCTCGAGGTACGCATTAGCACATTCTCCCCTCCCTTCCCCACTCACCATGGCGCACAGGCAGCAGCCATCCTCTCGCACATGAAGCCCGGCACCTCGCTGCCCGACGACCGCTCGCTGTGGCCGTCCTTCCTATCGGGCGGGCTGCTCCCTCCGCCGGCGACGACGAACCTCGCGGTGAACGGGACGACGAGCCGCGCCAAGTCCGTGAGCGCCGCGTCGTCGTATAATGCTGCCGCCACTTCCAGTTCGGTGCCTAATGGACGCGGGTCGGCGGGCCCGCGGATGCACGACTACGAGGTTGCGGGCGGGGGGATCACGCAGATACGCCCGGGCTTGGTGGGCGTGCCCACTGCTACATCGACATCTGTGCCTGCGCCGAGCGCGCCCGTGCCCGTGCCCGTGCCGGGCAGCTACTCGTCTGTGAGCGCGAGCGTGCAATCGGAGTCGTGGGCGTCGTCCGCGGCGGGGTGGTCGCTCCCGAGCTCGTCGCTGCGCTCGCGCTCGGGGAGCCGGAGCGACGAGGAGTACGTGGACGTCGGCGAGGCGGAGGGGGTGCCTGGGGGCGGGTTCAGTGCGAGGAGGTGGGGGAGCGTGAAGGAGGAGGAGGGGGAAGAGGGATGGGATGGGATGGAGATGGAGATGGAGATGGAGATGGATTAAGGTGTGAATAAGAAGGGAAGAAGAAGGGTGGGAGGTGTGTTATCTATCTGATTTGATTCCGATCTGTATAGTTGTGGGCTTGTGTTTGTTTCCTTTTTCCCGTTGTACACGCCTTTGTGCGCATTGTTGTTGTTGTGTTAGTATGGTTTCTCCCTTCCCCTTTCTGTCCACCCTTGAAGCCTTCAATTTTCAGGATGTGTCGTATTTTCTTGATGAGTCCCCACCCACCCTCATACGGATGTATATATGGAGCACATGTCGCTGTCTGGAGTGCATGTATATTGTATTGTTATTGAACACAATCAAGGAAATCGCTGTCTATTTAAGCTGCAGTCTTCAGGAACCATCCTCCGCTATGGCATTCGAAGACCTCTTCAAAGACGGCTCACGAGCCAATAATGTGGTTTGCTCAACGAAACTCCTTTGAAGACAGCTGTATTTTCAAAACCAAGCAAAGCATTGCACAGAGCAGAGCACTTAAATTACAGAGTGTGTGTATGACCCATGAGTCCGTAGATATCCCAACTAGATAGTTTGCACGCCCCCTTCCCCCTCCAGATAGATGATGTATTGCACGATATATGCGTCCTATATGCGTCACTGTTTTTTCTTGGCAGACCCGGCAAGCGAGGATCCGGCTGCAGCGGCGACGTGCAGGGCGTCGGAGATGTCCTTGCCCAGCTGGTATACAATCAAGCTCGGCACGAGCAGCCATAGTCTGCGTATGCAACCGGACATCAGCGTTCCGCTCGGTGCATTCATCTAGCACAGCAGGCACTCACCCATTAGGTATGATCCAGTACACGAGGAGATCGAACGCGCTGTTGTGCCCGATCGAGCAGTAGCTGCAAAAGTACTCCTGCAGCCAGTACAATGCGGTCTTGGAGAGCGTCATCGTGGCGGAGGCGAAGCCGACGAGGGGCGCCGCGGGCGAGCGCGAGCGGTGGGCGAGGGAGAGGTAGAGGATGTTGAGGAGGGTCTCGAGGACGTTGAGCAGGGACTGGGCGTTGGGAAAGCCGTCACCTTCTTGCAGCGCTTTGAGGCCGTAGATCTAAGGCAGGGTGGGAGGTTAGCAACGGTGGGAAGGAAAGGGAGGAGGACGGACGTAGTCGATGTCTTGGTAGATGGCGTAGGGCTTCCAGATCCAGTGCAGGTCGCCGCCTTTCATCGAGCGCGGTCTGCGAGCGCGGTCAGGCGGTATGCACTTGGAAACAAAATGTGAACAGCGCGCACCTGAGAAAGCAGTAGCCGGCGTCCCAGAAGATGACGGGCACGGTCACCGCGAACCACAGCGAAATCCACCAGTGCATTTTCGGCGCCATCGTACTCGTCGTCGCTCTCGGTCTTGGTCTTCGTGCTGGCGATGGGAGAGCAAAGGTGGGTACCGACGACGGGAGCGTCCAATTCAGCGCAAAGTCAGGCCATCGCGAGCGTGTGGGAGCACGTACGGGAACCGTGAGAACCCCTTCCCCGCGCCGCCGCCCGCACGTGCTCCGCATCTGCGCCCTCTGCCTCCCCCTTCGCCGCGGTCGTCGTGGACGACGTTGCTGTCGAGCTGGACGACGCCGGGCGCGACTGCACGAGGTCGAGGTAGAACCCCCATTCTTCCCTGTCCGCCTCGGTCGCGCGGAGCCGCCGCCACCCCGGGTCGGGCTCCGATTCTGTGCGCCCGCGCGCCGGGCGTTCTTGCAGCTTCGCCGAGTGCGCGGCGGAGAACACTGGGAGCATCGCGGTCAAGTCAGTGGTGATTTGGGAAAGAGCAGGAGTGGTGTACCGAAAGTGCGTAGAGGATGTGTTGGGTCGGACATGTTTGGATGCCAGTGGGCGGGTGGATTGGGCGCGGAAAATGCCTGGACTGGAGCCACGAGGTAGCCACGACGACCGTGGCGGAAGCAGTCCGGGTTCAAGTTCGACATCACGGATGCGTCTTCTCAGGTTTGCGCTGTGGTTAGGTTTTCAACCTTGCTCCAAACTTCTAGGTACGTTCTTGCTTGTCTCTTGCTTTGTGCTAATGTCGGGACTGCTTCAGTCCGTCTCTAGTGAACGCCATCCTCGACATATTTCCGGCAAGTTTCTCTGCGCATCTCCATGGATAGCACACTGAAGTTAGGGCGCCGACCTCCTATCGAGTCCTCCGTGCCACAATCCGGTCTGGCATGTCTCATTCGAACAAATCGCTTTACACACATTTCGACTCTTTGTGCTTCCCAAGTCTCCTCCAATGAACCCGCTCTTCCAACCCCTGCGCCTTGCTGCGGTGGATGAACAGACGTCCCAGTCAAGTGGCACTGTGTACGGCTGTTAGTCACCGCAGTACCGCGCAGGGGCGGGCATCTTCAAAAACGTCGCTTGGTCGATTTTGCCATTGATCTCTTGCCGACCAGTGTTGAGGCCCTAGGTGGCGGAACCACCATTGCGCCTTCTCGGCTTTTCGCTGTGGTCAGGTCTTTCTCTGTATCTGTCATCCACTCCATGGGATGACAATGCAACCTAGTAGGCCGTTCGATATGTCGCGCGAAGCACGTACGTATTCCTATTTCGTGCCACCCTCACCAAGGTCCAAGAATGGCTTACAGGTGCTCCCAGCGCATTGCGCCGACGCGCAGTTCTCCCATCCGCCCGGCGCCGTTCGTGAGGTCCGAGCCGCATCACACATGAGCCTCGCTCGTCCGTCGTCATCGCAACCCCTTCACGGCCCTGTGCTCGGTAGCGGCAGATTCACATCCCATACACTTGATCGATTTGAATGCTTGGTTGTGACTCTGATCTGCACTGCGCAGGGACGGACATCTCCCGCGTCGTCGGGATGATCACGCGTTGCACGGGCTCATCGTTATCTTGGCTCCTCCCCCTGCCCTCGAGTCTGCTCCAAGGCCCCTAGCGGTAGACCTACGCGCCAACGCGTTTCATCCGTTCGAGTATGTTGGGTGTAAGTCACTCCTGCATGCCGTAGGGACGGTCGTATCCTTCATTTCATCTGACATACCTGTTTGATCTTTCACCATGTTATACTTGACGTCCGTTATGGTGTGGTGCGTACATCTCATAGCCTCGTACTTTGCTTGTCCCTTGTACCGCATTGTTATTGACGTCCCCGGCCTCCGCAGCAGGTCAATTGTCGCTCATAAGCACAATCCACAATCCACTGCAAGCTGGGACCAAATACAGCAAGAGCATAGGCTCACAACAGGCACTATTTTGAAACCGTCGGTGAACATCAGCATAAAACGAGAGCCAACTCATCCCTAGCCACAACCATCAGCATTTTCAAATTTCCATTCTGCATCTAGCACGCACCCGAGATGACCGCCAGCCGCTCGCATAAGTACTTCCCGCTTGATTTTAAAGGAACGCGGTTGGTCCTTCGGCGGACAAACTTTCCATGTCAGACCATCGTACCATCGCAGTACTGGGTGCCACAGGGAATGTGGGTCGACAAGTCGTATCCTCCCTGTCTACTCACCCACTTGCGGTCTTCCCTTCTCTTCGAGTTCTTACCAGGCACAGTAGCCTGAATAAATTCTCTTTCCTCCCACACGGGCTGAATACCAGTATTCACCTGATTGCATATGGAATGCCTGATACACATAGCCAGTTGCTGCATGTGCTCACAGGGGTAGACGTCGTTATTTCAGCCATAGGCGACGACTCTGGCTTTACCGCCAAGTATGTGAAGCATGTGGGACATCTACCATGATTCCAGGTCCAGGAAGCAGTGGCCAGAGCTGCTAAGGAGGCGGGAGTTCAGGTGTTCGTCCCTGCGTGAGTGCATGATGAGGTATAAGAGATTATGTCTCACTTTTGTTCTCCATAACCAGTGAGCATGCGTATGCCACTCACACTATTCAGCGCGACACATCTTTCTTCATCGTAGGCAAGCGTTTGTTCCTGGATCTCATTCGGGATGACCTAAAACTGCCGTGGCAAGTAGGCAAGGGACAAAGCTTCGTAGTGCGCAATGGTATTGATATGCTATCCAGGCTGTTGGTGTACCCGATATGTCATTTCCTGTTCTACCGAGTTCTGCCTCGATCATAGCATAACCAGGGGCAGTTCCCTACTCCAGAGCCGTGAGTCATTAGTACAAACCGTATCCCAGAGAACTGTCCTTACTTCGCTACCCAGAGAACCCTCAGATCTACCACCTTGTAATCCATCCTCGCAAACGGGAGTGGCCCCCTTTGAGGCTACTCGCTACCACTTAGCCTCATATTTGGTGCACCTGGTGTTGGATGTCCCATGTGCCGAAACTGCCTGGGGAATCTACAGGCTCCTGGGACTCAAGAAGGAGCGGCTGATTAGCGAGTCGAAGTAGGAGGTGGCGAAGGACAGTGGGTGCTCCATGAGATTTAATTCGATGTGAATACACGGATACGGATACACTCGGAGAAATACAGCTCACCAGGCCCGAGTTCACGACGCGCTGCCACATCTCATTCCATGTCCTATCTCAAGTTGACATTGGATTGTCCCCTAGACCATGTCCGCCGCGGAGGTATCCGTGAATAGACGAGAAGCAGGCTATGTTCTAAATTCAGTCTGCTTCCCTCACATGTCCGGGCACGTTGTCCAGACATTAGCGCCCTGCTCCCGTAAAGCCTCCTCTTACCACCATGTCCTACGAAGTCAAGTTCAGCTACTGCGACACCCGCTCCACGTTCGACCGCGCGATATCCGGTCTCCGCAGCTCGAGAGTCCTGCTGCTCGACTGCGAGGGACTGGATATCGGTATGCAAGGCGGGGCGCTCTCGCTGATCTGTGTGGGTACAGAGAGCGCTAAGGCCATATACGTCTTCGACGTCCCGATGCTGCGCGATAACGGCGTCAACGTCAACCCTCTGTTGCGCCTGCTCATGCGCGAGGATATCACTAAGATCACGTGGGACGGGCGCATGGATTTCCTGGAGATATACGAGACGTACGGAATTGAGATGAAGGGCGTTCTCGATTTGCAGCTCGCAGAGGTCATGTCGAGGAAAGGAGTAAGGAAGGAGGGGGAGAGGCAGCGTACCCACCGACTTGCCACGCGATACTTCGGGTTTCAAGCCGTCAAGACTCAGCAAGAGCTGTTCAAGGGCATCCATATAGTCCTTGGCATGACACAGTGCCTGAAAGACAACAATCTCGGAGAAGGGGTCGAGAAAGATCGTGAGTCGACGTCAACAAAAACCTACGAGGATTACTGACGCGAATGATGCGATCCAAGCCCAAGTAGTCGCCATGCATCGTGCCAACGGGAGCGCACTCTGGATGGAACGGCCTCTGTCGGAAAGGCTTCTTCGTTACGCAGCGACTGATATCTATCTTATTTCGCTGCTCTACGAAGACTTCCTTACGAGAGGCTGGATCAACCGCAAGAGTACGCAAGGCCTCTGCGCCTACTCGCAGGAGTATGTCTCGACGTACCAGGATTTGGGTCGCCTGGACGCGGATAACGTACTACAGAAGGGGCCGTTAATTATGCTGTGGGAGCTCGAGGGCGAGCGCAAGCACGAGTGCTCAGGATGCGGGCGGTTCAAGCCGATCGAGTGCTATGTGACAAGGCAGGTGAGGAGGATGAAGCAGAGGATGCCGCGGTGCCGGGTGTGCACGGTCATGGCGATAAAGAAGAATCTACCGGACAACAACGAGTGGATGTTCGTATTTGATGACGCGGAATGAAGTGAGGATAACAAGGTATGCAATACGAGCTTCTTGTGTTTCGGCCGCCTAAACGTGTAACTGCGCTTAAAAATGTTGTGTACGATATTGTCTGGATCACTCGACATCAATAATCCTATACGATCTTTGAATGAAATTATTGTGCGCACCGAGGACCGCTTTGCGCCAAACCACCTCACCGGCACGAACTCGGGTGCAGTCTTCTTCTGAGTACAATGAAAACACGAGCCGTGATGAACCAGCTCGCACCAGCATTCCACACGCGCCGCTTCATGTCCGTCGCCGGGATGAACGCGCCATATGCCAGGAAACTGTATGGCATTTCTAGAAGATGACGAGCCTGGACTGTCATAGCATTTCCCTTCGACGAAAGGTACGAATGTCAAGATGCACGTGGGTAGCAACCTCCCGCTGCAGCTATTAATTGATGGGAAGGGAATATGCGCCTCCCATACGGGACTTCCGCCGGCATACAGAATCACCATAACCAATGGGCTGGGGAGAAGTTTGAAGTTCATTCGATCGCCGGGAACATTTCCAACCAGCACCGACTTCAAATTGGAATAAACGAGAGTATGGTATATGCTGAACGCTCAGGAGAGCAAAGAATTTTGATACAACGCACTATAGCAGCCTGAGTGATGGCAACTCCCTATGAGTGCCTCCAGTACCACACATTCCATCACCGGATCCCCACGCGCATTCAGGCCCAACATTATTTCGTGAAAACGCGGATGACCTTGGCGGATATGTGAAGGAAGAAGATGGATGCGATGAAGGATAAAGACAAGATGAGCACGACAAATGGGTCTCTACAGCAAGGAGGATGTTTCAGTAATGCAATAGAAAACGGGGAACGGGCACTTACACTCTCAATCCAGGTGCATCATCCGTGTATAGCTTCAGCATCGTATTCGACGAACCGCCGGCGCCTGCTGCCCGCGTTGAGTTGGGCTTTGCAACCTGACCAGTTGCCCTCCGTCTGGGTGACGACAATTAGCTAAAGTTAAAACTACAACGCAACACCCCCCACTGACCGAATTTGTGCGCCAGGCGGTTTACCCGCTGCTGCTGGCCGGCCAACAGCGCCGTTAGGAGTTCCGGGTGCAGACGGCGTATCAGAGTCAGACTAGAGACCTCAAATTCAAGACATTAAGCATATAAGCTAGACATATCCTGCTCACCATCGTGCGTGTAAAGGGGATACAAGCTTAGGCTACGTTGTCGCCACGATGTGCCAGCGGCATGTGGGAATGGGAGCGAATTTCCCAAAGGGGGAACTCATATCCCCCCCGCTTGACATCACCACCGGCGGCGCCCGAGGCTGCGCACTTCATCGCAGTGAACGACTTGCACGATGTCCTTGGTACGTCGAGGTTGTCGGCGGCGGCGGCGATTTTGGAACTGATCGCTTCAGTAGATTCACGCACTCGTTGGCCATGGATCGACTATTCTCGCGGAACACAAGGCGGACGGACGGGATTTCTCGCAAGGCGAGCTGCAGAGAATACTGAAGTTGATATTCGCGTTCTAATTTCTGCGATAGCAACACAGACCATCTTGTCTAAGATACCCCCAAACGACAGTAAACTAACTTATGTCTGGGAGCAGTACTTCTTTCATTACATCTCGGAGGGAGGATTCATCTACCTGGTTATGGCAGACGATGCTGCAGGACGGTCGGTGTTGAAGTGCGTTACAAATGTCTATTGAACTCATACCTTCCTTTAGTCGGATGCCGTTTACTTTCTTGACTGAGCTCAAGCGACAGGTACGGGGTCGTACTGCACCGAATGTTATCCCAGTGCTGAGCGGCACCTAGTTCACTTCACAGCCTACGGCGTCTTCGTCCAGTTTGGCAAATATGCCGCCATACGGTCTGCAGGGCACCTTTGGTCCCACCATCGCGCAGCTCATGAACCAGTATAATACTTCTCCACCGACCGACGAGCTATCACGCGCCCAGAACGAGCTCGCACAAGTGAAGAATATAATGGTCCAGAACGTTGAGCAGATTCTTAGCAGAGGAGAGCGTATTGAGCTTCTCGTCGACAAGACGGATAACATGGCCCAGCAGGCAACGGCTTTCAGGCGAGGCGCTCGCTCTGTCCGGAGACAAATGTGGTGGAAGAATACGAAAGTCTTGATGCTGAGTGTACTCGTAGCTTTGGTATGTCCTCGCCTACAGGGCAGATGGTGCATGCTGAAGTTATTTTTGTAGATTCTGGTTTGGATAATCGTTGCACAATTCTGTGGTGCTGGCCTCAACCAATGTGGCGCGAAGAAGTGATCGGCGTTCCGTTTGCTTTCACACTTGTATAGTTTAATTTTTATTCGCCCCTTGCTTCTGCGCCTGTATTCTAGAGCCCATATTCATATGGTTTTGCCAATCTTCACCTTCCTTGTATTCTACCCCGCACTTGCAGCACTTGACTTCGCAGCTTTTTCGGCTAGCATTTCTAATCGTAAGTTTGACCCCTTAATATTCATTTTATGCTTTCATATGCCAGGGAGATGCCACACGAGGTGAGTTTATCATTACGGATCGTTATGACCTGAACGCGCCGACAATTGGCCTATAATACATTTATTTTACATAGGAGCACCATACGCTAACTGAGTAGGGCATCAAGCGGGTCCGTCGTCGGCAATCTGGTATGTTATACGAGGAACCAAGACAGACCTACACTCGCCCATAGTCCCAATATACATTATGACTTCACGGAATTAACAGCCGAACACAATGCAAGGCCAGCTTAAACTTCTACCTACTGTCGCTCATGCAATACCTTAGCATAATTACATCGCATAATCAGGAAGACAAAGATGTTCAAGAGATGATCTGGATGCCGGGCGTGTGCCCGCTTCTACTCGGGCCTCTGTTTGCCAGGGAGGATCGACGGCTGAGAGCCTCGGTGGGTTCGCGGAGTGCACTGGGGGTTCTACCCGATGACGATGAGGCGATGGAAGACAGAGAGGTCGTGGACCCGCCGGATTCCTTGCGATTCCGCTCGCGTGCGCGAGTCTCCGCCTCCCGGGCGGCACTACTGGCGCGCGATATCAGCGACGGGCGAGGGATCTGCGCCGTGCCAGGTGAGGTGGGAGACATCGAAGTAGCTGATAATGGAGAAGCCATCCCGGTGGGGCTAGTCGAAGGTGGAGGCGAAGGGGGGTGGGATACGTAGAAGCGGAACGAAGATGAAGACTGTGGGTACACCGCCTCCGAATGAGATCGCTCGCGGCCCTGGTGCAGGGGCTCTGCGCGTAGTCGTGACATGGCTGGATGGCTGGAGTCCCCGGAGTAGCGAGGAGGAGAGGAAGGCCGCACCCGGCTCAAACTGCCCACTCGAGACAACGACGGAACAAAATCAGAGTCCTCGCGGATGGCGCCGCTGGAGTTGGTGGGGAGTTGTAGGAGGTCGTGCAGTTCTTTCCTCCACCGCTCGTGCTGCTCCTCTTCCGCGCAAGTGTGAACCGGAGGTTGCTTACTCTCTCGCAGAACTGATCCACGAGGTACCGATGCGGAAGCCATGATGACGTCGCCGCTCGGGTCGTAGGGGACGTACGCCATCGAGGAAGAGGCTCTCGGGGGTGACGGTTGACGACTCGCCATGAAACGATGAATAGAACCGTACTCATCCCTTTGAGGTAAGGACTGAGCCATATTCTCGTCATGCTCTCGCATGCGACGGCTCAAAAGGCTACCTGACAAGCTTGCGTCCGAAGGATTAATCGAGATCGCCGGGATTGATTGACGAGTGTATGCTTCGCTCAGCCCGGAGCCTTTCTTTTGAAACTCTGGCTCAGGCGTCTCAGAGTCCGGGGGCAATTCGGTAGGAACGTGTAGTGTCGAGGGGAGAGGGGAGAGCTTAAACATGTCCTCTTGGACCGCTGCTGCAAGCTTGTCCATGATGGGTTCCATATGGGTCTTGACGGCGTCGTACACATCCGTGGCCGAAGAGGCTGAGTCGTAAGCAGGGAATAGAGTGGAGCGTTCATGAAGACCACCCTCGGTACTTTCGGATCGGAGTCGTTCTATCTCATCATACAGCTTGCGACATTCCGAGAGGACGACCTCATACTGTAATCAGCGTGAGTGGAGTAATCACTTTGATAATTAGCCGTCACTCACTTTCCTATGAGATAGAACGTCAGCAAATGAATGTCACTCGTACGATGAAAGCATCGACTCACCCGTTCCACTCGGCGTTCATGCGATTGTAATGCTCTCTCAAGCTCCTCTCTACCGCTAGGGCCATGGTGTTCTCTTCCTTACGCTTCTGAGCAAGGTCTTCCAGCATCTTGTCGGCCGCTTCTAGTCGAGACTTGTACTCATGCTCCCTCTTGTCTGCATTGGCGAGTTTCTCTCGATCTTCTGTTACACGGTGCAGCAGCCTATGGCTTGCCCGAAGGTCCCGATGCTGCCGGATCTCGTCAATATAGCTCTCAAGGAGAGCTGGGCGCACTCACCTCGTCTTTGGGCTGAGTTTTGAGCCAAATATGGATCTCGTCAATCGTATTGCGAACGTCTGTCAGTGAGGCGCCTTCCAAGACGATGTGGTCGATCTTCTCTTGCAGACGACGAACGTCTACATCCACCTCGGACTCTGGTTCCGGAGCTACGGGGACGCTGGTGTTGTCTGCATTCAATACTTGGGCCGTCCTGTCAATATGGAGCCTCCTGATTTCCGCAGGGTCAAACGCAGTCCGACAGAGAGGACACATCAGTCGGTTCAACGACTGAAGACATCTGAGTGATGAAAGGAAACATGGAATGGTGAAATTTTGTACCTGTTTAGCAGCAGGGTTACGGCTTACCTCAGGCAGAAAATGTGCCCGCAGGATATGGAATGCGGAACATTAGTGCCGTTGGTATAGCCTTCAAGACAGACGTCGCAAGTCGAGTTCGGATGAACGACGAGCATGGTCGACTCAGCGAACGGCTACCAGGATAATGCTACGGGTCCCGGGCTACTTTTGTGTTATAAGCCGGAATGGGCTAGGCTGGAGCGAGAAGGACATGCCCTCAGCATAAGGTTGGGAGCACTGCGCCGCTCTTCTTGTATACGGCTCGTTAGGACGGCACGAGGCTGCCAGACCTCTCGGAAGGTTGGTGAGAAATCAATCTGGCTGGCACGCACCGATCGCAAACCGGTTCGAGTTCTGGCTATCGTGCTCCTGTGTGAGTTCAGAACTCATAATGAAGAAAGGGACGCTGAGGGAATTAGGCTGGGAAGATAGGAGGACATGGATATGTTTGGTATAGGATCGTATTCTGAGGAGCTACGGAAGCGACTTTGTGCCTTCGTCGATGTTCCGCCAAAGAAAGACGGATATAGGTCCGACACACCGGATCTCGCCCAAACCCAGATAGCCAGCGAGTCGTGCCTCATGTTAGCAGCGTGATCCTTGTTCTGCCGGTGACGACCGAAAGAATGCGCCCTATCTCAGAGGCATGTCCTAACCAAACTTGTGGTAAATCATATTGGACTACCGAAAGTGTGTGTTGCGAAGACGCCGGAGAAGTCATTGTACTTCGAAACGCCACCACTTACGGGCAGATGACGATCCGTATAACGCTGAAAAGTAAGTCACAACCCCCTCGGTGGGAACGGCTCGGCCTTAGGTTGTACGTAGATGAATCTCATCCAAGGCGTAACGGGCATGTCAATATCAGCATCGGAGGCAGCGCTGGGTAGTGCTAGCCTCATTTGGCGAGGATCGCTGCAGCTAGAATTGGGGTCAAGTGCGAGTAACGGTGGGACACAATCACTCACGTTCCTTATCTGTAACATTCGCGAGCTTCTGAATGAGTTGGCCATATGCCTCGGTGACTGGAAGGCAAGCCCGATAGTAGTCGTGCAATAATATAGACATGCAGCTACAATGCCACAATGGCAGCTTGAATAAGAAAGCAGTCCTGCAGACGAGCTGAGATTACGTACCGGCACTCGGTGACTGTATTATGCCGATGCAAGTGTTTCCCGTCGAGCAGCCTCGCATCCTCCAACCTACAAAATCACACAGGACCGCCGACTGTCAAGATGTGCTACTCAGCTGACATGCTGCGGTGACGCCGGCTCCTCGTGTGATAAAGGAAGTAATACATCCACCACCGTTAGACTTGGCAGAGGGTAGGTTTGTGTCACTGTATATAAAGATTACTGCTGGTGGCGCAGGTTCAGGGAGCAGTGGCGAATCGCTCCCTAGTCACTTGCCAGGGTGGAGGATTGTATGACCTGCTGTAGCACGCACGAAGCATGGTACATCGTTGATTCACAGTTCATCGGAACCTAGATAACTTCCTCTGTGCTGCGGTCCGCCCACAGGGACCTAGTTACCCTTGAGGAGCCAGAGATTGAATGTTAACGTGCGATACGAGAGATGGACCTGGCGCGGCGAAGATGTAGGCCATCGGTATTGACGAGCGTGGAGTGACTTGCAGGACAATATGACGAGCAGGCGATGAAAGAGTACAGAAGATTGAAATGTCGGGACACCACGCCTCGCCAATATATAGAGCGAAATTTGGCAAGCACCCCAAGCGTCTGTGGGCCCGTCCCGTCGTGACCTGCAGATGAGGGTCGGAAATGGAGAAACAATCACAGTGCCTCGACGAACGTGCAGCACACATCGAGTTGGTGCTCAGTGATAGGACATCTCCTACGTACTGGCTCTGGACATGTTCCCAATGGAGGGCAGAAGACGACAATCGTCAATATACTTCGCACTAACGAACTCTGTCCAAAATGTTTGCGATCCCGGCCCTCGGAGTCATGCTAGGGCGATCGGACGGATCTAAGGGCACAAGATATCCATCCTGATTGACCATAAGATAGGATCTATCTCCTCCTACATGCGAAATCCAGTATCCGGCGCTGCCATCGGTGAAACATGCTTCTTTTCGGAAGAGGATCATCAAGTGACCGCTGGTGATCTTGTCAACGTTGGCGATCCACATCGTCAAACAAACGCAACCAAGTTCTTGAGAAGCGCGTCGAAGGGAGAACCCACAAGTATTCGGTCCCAGACAGGTAGACTGAGTGTCACAGACACCTGCAGGACCGGCATATCCAAGGGGAATACTGTTCAGGAAATCCAGCGCTCCGAGGAAGATCGAGGTCCAGGTGTGTCGCAACAATCGCTTCAGCTCCAAGGGACCGTCGATAAGTACACTATCCAGCAGAGAAGAGGCAACCTCGAGCTCAAGTGACCAACCGACGGTATCGACTGCAACGCAAGATCATCGATCAGCATATTCCAAAGGGATCAAAGATCGTAAAATCGGCCTCTCGTTCGTCTTGGGCGACGGAACGGATCCCCTGAGACGGACAGGGTGGCAGTGATTATCAGCGCGCGATGGACTTGCCGCGGGACTTGCAGCATCATAGCCTGAGCCTCACACAACGTCTCGGCCTTGACATTTTGAAAGCTTGACATCTGAGTTAATCCAGGTGGATTTGAATCTCACGAGTCCACCGTCGATTACCACCCGTCTCAGTACCGTTCTGGTTCATCGATGGAATACACATCTGCCTTACACGCATAACCTATGAGACCTGAGTCCTCATCGCACGTTCGTGCCAGCCATGCCGCGGTACGATGTCAGGAACGGGCATCCGTGTGGCCTTACACCGATGTCTGTTGCAGTCCCATTGTCGAGAATTATGACGCGGCCTCCATCACTCGGGGTCGTTCACGGTTAACGATTTCGATCCCTGGCGCACAAATAGATCGAATGAGTATGCGGCTGGAAAAACACTTAGAGCGTGAATAAATTAGACGTTAAAAGATACACGGAGTTGTATACACTATCTAACAGAATGCAGGTTTCAAAGCAACAGAGCATGATGTGAAGCGATACTTTGATGCACGGGTAGAGACAACAGCAGTCCGACGACAACCCGATAATATACAGAAGAGAAAGAACATACAAGAGCACGCAAGAAGTTCGTGATGGCATCTATCTTCTTCTTGAGGATGATTGGGGATTCCCTGACGAAAATAGCGAAGTAGCAGTGGACCAGAACTGCGAGAAATCTTGCTCTCGGCGAGGCATCGGTTCTGCCACCTCTCGGGTCACGGTCGGTCCGGCAGCTTGAGCACGGGATGCATTTTGTTGCATGTATGATAGAGCTCCAGAGACATTAAACGTTGCAATATGGCGACGTGACGACGAAGCAGAAGTAGTGGATGGCATTGTCAGGGTGAGTGTGCTGGTGACTGGGGCAGGAGCAATGCCGCCTTGCGAATGATAGACAGGCGGGATAAAGGAAACAGTCGGAGGGGGAGGGTCCGGTGCTGAAGTGCGACGACTCCTACGTCCACTCGGCGCAGGCTGAGCAGTCCGCTGATTAGCATTAGGCAGTGGACCGCTACCCGACGCCTGCGGCGGTATCTGGTGCGATACAGATCTGCCATGCGCAGGTCGCAGGGATCGACTCGGGCCACTCCCACGTGCCGACTCTTCGTCTGTCACTGCGCCGGAATCGTGTGTCGAGCGCGACTCGTGCGCATGGGAAGCGGTCTGCTCAGATCTACGCGCAGCATCCATATTGAATAAGACTGTCGTGCTTGTGCTGGCTCTCGGAGTGAAATAATCCGCTTCGTCGTCCTCGTCATCATCATCATCACTGGAAGCTACATCATTATTTCGCTGGTTGATCGAAGCACGACCCATATGAGCGTCGTTTTGGCCCAAAGGAGCCACGTTGCGGCCTATACGCAAGCCCAATCCAGACTCGTCTGCGTTGGCCCGACTGCCCTCTCCCAAAGCGTCAGCAAATCTGCCCAGTCCTAGTCCCAAACTACTCCGAGAGACACGAGAGGCGTTGACGGCGGTCGTACCCCATGAACTTGCTGAAAGAGCGCTGCCGTTCGCTGGTCCAGGACGAAGAGAAGAGGGGTGATCCTGGTTCTGCACCGTCTGCGCTGCATGGGTCGCAGTGACTTCGGCACCTGATGAGAATCCCAGGAGAGATCTCAAGTTGCGATTTCCACCGTCAACGGCAGGATGACTGCCGCCCGCAGGAGGGTGCGTCAACGGGAAATCACTGACGCTAATTCTCGAGACAGTGGTGGGCCCCATGGTGGGGGTGGCGTCATCCGGGGACGCAGCAGAAGATCCGGACCGTCCGTCAGCTTGCCTTGAGGACTGGGGTAGTTGTTCACCGCTGCGTCTAGCGGTACCGTTCTGCGTCCTCGTTATTCCCGCAAGACGCTCAGCAGCTGCGAGAGTCTCCGCACTCCATTCGACTACTCGCACGCTCGAGTCCGCGACCAAAGCCGGGGCATCATCCTGCACACGACTTTTATCACGCACATTCAGCGGCGGCACGACCCTTTGCGCCGGATGAGCACCCGGGACGACAGACAGCGCGCGGTTAGCCGCCACGTTGTTCGAGCCAGCGATTGCAGATGGCGGTGGGTCATGACGGGGACCATCCGCAGATTCCTGCGTGTTCTGCCATATAGAGTACCAGCCTCGCCAGTCTTCTGACCCCGCACGGGATATGTATCCTGGACCTTCCCCGTTACTGGGGTCTTTCGAAGAAAGTCGAGGTGCCTCTAACGCCTTGCCTTTATCGATCAAATCAGGGATGACATCGTCTGCGAAGGGTTTCGGGGGAGGTGGGAGCGGATTAGAGCCAAACGGACTAGAGGGTCTGGAACGCATGGTGAGCCTTGCTAACTGTTGACGGAGACTTTCTGCTTCACGTTGAGCAGACTCTAACTGAGAAGATATCAATAACTCCGTCTGCATTAGAAGACGCTTCTTAATACCTGACTGTCATATCAGGATGAAAAGGGCTGGTGAGTACATTCAGAACCGAGGCATCGATGTGGAAACTTACGATCTGTGCTGACTCTCCAGATTTTGAAGATGTTCCATCAAATTATCCTCCACAATCTTAGCCCTCGTCATGTCATGATCATAAATCTTCCTTTTCCGCTTATACTCATGTTTCAGCAAGCGATACATTTCGCTCTGATTCTGCCATTCAGATTCCTTGCGCTTATGCCGTTGAATCGCAGTCAAGGCTTTGCGCAACGCTCTGCTCTAAGGTGACGGTTCGAGGATCGGCACGAGGCTGAGACGGCGGCGGTATATTTACGTACCGCATCCGCATTCCTCCCTGTCAACCATTCTTCCACCTCGACGATTATTTGAGCTAGTTCACTCTCGGGCGTGTCCTCCCCCGATGCCAGAGCCAACCGCTGCAGAAGCTCGATCTCCTCCAACTGGGTTTGCGAGTAGCCGATCCGAGGTGTAGCAGGTGTCACGCCTGCCTCATCCGGCGGCACACGATCTACGTGAAGCCGCTTGATGCGATCTCTGAGGAAAGCCTTCCTGCATAACGGGCATATGCTGGGATTGAGCCTGCTTAGACATCTGCACGATGAATATAGAGCAATTTAAGCATGGTAAGCACAGCATCAGATTACTGCGCAGCGTACGGATGGCAGAAGACATGGCCGCAGGATATTGCATGGGGAGTCTGCTGCGGCGAAGCGAACGAATATTCGTCGAGACAAACATCACAACGACTGAGGGGGTGCAGTATGAGCATTGCTTGAGAGGGTGCCGGGGAGAGTCATGGCAGTACGAGACAAGGCGACGGAGGGGATGATAAGGTT